CTTCCTCCCCTCCCTCCCTCCCTCCCTTCCTTCCCTCCTTCCCTATTTACGTGCACAGAGGGATTCAGAAAATATTTTAAGTCCTATTATGGCAGAAAGTATATTTCAGACCTGATTATATGTCATATTCAACTTTCCTTGCTATCAGTGTTGGTCAACAAACTCCTAAAATAGGAAATATTTATATAGAGAACAACTATTATGTATTTATAGGGAGAATAACTGTTTTTAGAAGAATTCTCCTCACCCTTGCATCCAGTGACTTGTGGTAAAGCGGACTTTATTACTTCATTTGAACCAAAGACAGCTTTCATGTTTTATGGAAAGAAAACAAACAACTCGTGACAACTTCTCCCCTGTAATATTTAAGTTTGGTAGAAAAATCTACCTCATGTTTCTTCCTAAAATCTACCCAATGTCTTCTTTTGTAAATGATTTAAACTTCTTCTTAGTAAATACTGATTACATGAAAAATGTATCGCATTAGTGTCAGGAATACGGCCCACCAAACTTAACGTCGGCTTCTATTTCTTTTTACCTCTGCTGCAGAGCCTGGCAGGCCCTCCTGTCTCCCCCGTATCTGCTGTGCCCGCCATCAGCATCTTTTTTCTAGCTCTCTGATCTGTGTTCTAGGCCTGCTGCAATGCTGTTTCGGAGTGAAGATACTTATTATCTTATTAAGCTGCAAATACTGCAGTTATTTCAAACTCTTGAGTGTTACAAAAGCTCTTATTCCTGGTACAACAGCAACCCCAAAATCATTTTCTTAGAGCACAGACATGAGTGCCAAGAGTTTTGAGATGAGTTCTCCAGAAGCAGAGCTGAGATGAGGATTTCTTGGAGTGGTTTTGCAGGGCTCCCTGGAGAAACTAGTGAGTGGGGGAAGGGAAAGGAGGGGTGAGAAGCCGAGCAGAGGGACGATGCCTGGGGAGCTACGGGATGTAATTGCTCCCTGGTGTCTGTTTCTCTTTGAGACAATGGAGCTGAGCTTTCCCCTCTGGCATTAGTTGTTGGCAGGTGGGAGAGGGGTTGTAAACTTCCAAGCACTTCTGCTCATTTTCTCTGCAGGTGAAGCAGCTCTGCTGATTGAAGGCTGGTTCTCGTAAGAAATTTGCAGGTGATATCACTTAGAAGCAGAGCACACAAAAGTGGAGAGATGGGCACAGACAGTTAAAGGGACCCAGTGCTACCTGGGCAGGACCCTAAGTGTGTCTGTTCTACCAGTCTGTCTGTCTCCCAGGCTTCCTCACTCCTGCAGACAGTTTTATCTTTAGGCCATTTCCTAGTGTATGTTTTTTCAGAAGCCATATAGAATTCATCTCTTCCTTTTGAAATGTAGTGAGCTGCTGCTTCAAAAAATCCTCAAGTGCTTGCAGTGTTTGGGAGACAGCTAAGTAACTTTCAGGGAGTAGAATTTTTATACCTGTTAGAGTGAGAAAAAGAAAATCTGAAATTTCAAAGCCTTCCTTTGATGAGTGTCTCCGTGGATACTGATTATAGTGCCCTTAAAAAAGGCAAGGATATTGTGTGATTATATGATTGATAATTACTAGAAACATTTCCAAGCATGCATATTAACTTTATTATTTTTCATTCTCTTGTCTTTTAATCATCTCTTATTTTAGTTCCTAATATTTCACGTTTGCTTTTAAAAGTTCTTTTTTCTTCATAAGCTTTTTGAAGGAGATGTACTGTGTTTCCTTGTGTCCAATTCGGGTTAGCACAAAATTTCATCTTTATCCATCTGATCTCCTAGACCAGCCATGTCCAGTAGAAATGTCATGTGAACCACATAAAAAATTTGAAATTTTTATGTAGCCTAATTAAAATAATAAAAAGAAAACGGGTTATGGCATCCCGAGTTGGGTGCTGGAAAGTCCAAGGTTACAGATGAAATTAACGACTTATTTAACCCAGCATACCCAAATGATTATCACTTCAACACTTAATATAAACATTGAGATTTTATGTTTTACTTTTTATGTAGTATGCATTTTATGCTTGTAAAAAATTTCAGTTCAGACTTGCTATACTTCAAGGGCTAAACAACATTTTTCTTGTGCACCTTATTGAATGGTGCACCTTTAGAATGTTAGAGGAGAACTCGGGTAAAATAAAAGGCTTTGCTCCCTTTCAGATGAGACGGTTCATCAGTGTTCCCGAGTCTCCCAGCTTGGTAACCTCTGCAGTAAGGAAGTGAAGCAGCACTGTTGTCCAAAGGAAGTGAGTGGGTCTGTCCTTGGTGAGCCACGGTGGCTTCCTTTTTTGGATTTAATGCCCTCTAGG